CTTTCTTTGAAGCCCCTTCAAGATTAACTTGCTAAGAATTCAAGCCACAATTATTTGTTAAAAAACTCATTGAAAACAACTTTCTTTTTAGCTTGACTGCCCTCCACTTTGACAGAGAAGCAACTTATTTACAATAAACATCTATTCTATCTGACTTAAAATTGCAAAAAAATTAAGAATTCATGTCGTCTAAATGAAAGATAGAAGAATTAAAACATACTATTAATGAAAAATGAGGAGTGAATAACAATGAAAACAATAATGACATGTTTGGTACAAAAACAACTATACAGTATGAATTATATCGACAGGATTTTAAATTATTTTCTTCTTTACCACTCTCCGATTCCAGTTGCTACTAAATGGAAAATAAGAACAGCCCTTCAAATAGGATACATCCAATATTGGAATATTCCAATATTAGATCATTCTTCTAGATCATTCTCCTATTTGTTATTAGATGCTTATTCTAGATCCTTCTTTAATTTGTTAGATAATTTAGCCTATAAATAGATCGATGTATTCACAATGTTAATTGAGCTTTTGATGAATAATAAGTGTTCTACATATTTTCCTTCATCAAGTTCTTTCAATATATTCTATATTGAATCTATCTTTTATTTTCTCAATATAGTATCAGAGCATAATGATGCTTCCGTCTGCATTTTCTTCTTCCGCAATTTTTTTTCGCTACCGTCTGCAAGTTGCAAGATCTTCCGCCTTCTCTATGACGATGAATGGCGTGCAATGTCAGCCTCACATCTTCAAATAAATTGATCCTGAAATTGATTCTGGAATGGAGGTAAAGAAATCTGAAGATAACTCTGACTTCATAATCATCTGCCTGTATGTCTGCCGATGGTGCTTCCAGTTTCAGCTGCTCCTGATTTTTTTTTTTGTACTTACTGAGCCTCCTGCTTCGATTCCTGCATGTGCAGCAAGAGCAGAGGATATCCTCAGCCATCTCCATCAATGAGTAATTCCATTGATGATGTTTCTAAACTCTTTTCTTCAGCCCGATTTCAGAGCAATGGTGCTCACTAATTCCAGTTATTCTGAATCAAGAGCTTAATTCTCTCTATTGGAGCAGCAGCCATCTTGGACACAGCAGCGGAAACTCCTCCTATGTCAATTATAGAAAACATTCTCTCAGTCAGCAACTTCAGATGGTTTTGGTTTTTAATATTCTGGACGGACATAACTACTAGGAAGGCTTGAGTACTAGAGTGCATGTGAAGAGATATCTTCCACCAAAGTTTTGCTTTCATCTCTTATCCAAGTTCAAGATATTCCATCTTGAGGGATGAGTGTTGGAATATTCCAATATTAGATCCTTCTTTTAGATCGTTCTCATATTTGTTATTAGATGCTTAATCTAGATCATTCTTTAATTTGTTATGTATTAGTTTGTTAGATAATTTAGACTATACATAGATAAATGTATTCACAATGTTAATTGAGCTTTTAATAAATAATAAGTGTTCTACATATTTTCCTTCATCAAATTCCTTCAATATATTCTATATTGAATCTATCATTTTATTTTCTTAATAGAGTCCAATAAAGATTTAAGTTACGATGTTATCTACATTATAATTTTGATTTGAAACTTATGGTTTTGTTGGAAATTTCAAAAGTATGTATGAAGTTACTATATATCTATTAAATAAAACTTTTCTAGTTGATAGTCGAGACTACGAAAAATAGTTTAGTTTTTGCATTTGAAAACTTTAAATTGTATAATTGACTAATTGTAAGAATTATTAAGTAAATATAATATTTTATAATTTTAGATGTTTTCTATGTATTGTTTTAATAATTAAATTATTTCTAAAATTATTAAAAGACTTGTAAAACTTGAAACTCCACATCCACACACCGGTAACATTTGTCCTAACTTTTTTTTGACACATTATCATCATCAACTTTCTCTTAATTAATACATCTCGTCTTTGATAATGATGTTGTCCAAAAAGTTTGTTGGGAAAGCATAAAGCTACTTATTTGTCCAACATATTTTTTAAAAAATAAATGTCAGTACGACAAATTTATTTTTTCTTCTTCTTTATTTAAAAACACAAAAAGGAATATTTGACAAACACCATCATCAAGAGCGTGATATGTTAATAAATAAAATGTTAAGATAAAAATTAGACGAAAAATAGGTTAATGACATAAATATTATAATAAAAAAAGTAAAGGACCTAGGTACAATTAAAATATGGTGCAGTAAATTAAAATTGTGTTATAAATATAACTACCATTACAAATATTGTACAGGTGAATAAAATTATTTAATGTGATCTTTTAGTTTTTGATAAATCTTTTTATTATCTACAAACTATTTTTCCGACAATTCTCCAGCAAAACAACTGTGCAATAACTGTAAAACATGAAATTATGGGGATTTTATTTGGTTCGAATTTCAAGTTATGGTAATAAGATATTGTACTGATTAACCGGTAAGGACCATTGCTCTAATAATAAATCGAAAACTTGTTCCTAGTTTAAATTTCAACGTTGTTCTTAAACTTATCTATCTAAATAAATACTTATGATTCATTAGCAGGAGACAAATTAACTTCTTAGGACCATATAGAAGAAATGGAGACATAGAAAAAAGGGAAGCATGAGACATATCACATCTAATAATGGAAGGGGCCACTTCAATTTTCCATATTCTTTATTGCAACTCATTTTGGTGGATTTAGGTAGCACTGTCCAAGAAAATATCAAGGTTAAGATTAGGGACCATCCATTTTGTCCAAAGAACAGATCATCAATGTCGTGTTCTTCAACTTAATCCCAACTCTATTATCTTCCTCGCCCATTTGTTTTTTATTCGCTTTCCAAGATTAGCACGCAATTATTTTCTCGACTATAATCGTGAATCTTAACGAGTATACGAATTCAAGCAAAACGCTATATAAATAGCAATTCATGACTATTATATTTGTATCTATTTGAAACAAAGACTAAATTTGAATAAATAAGCTTAGTTCAACATGTTTTAAGAATAAACACAAGCCCTGATTAAACTTCAGTTGCATTGTCATCTTAATAAAAATTGTACAGGTGTGACTTTTGATGAGAAAAATGAATATGATGAAAATGTAAACTAATAAATAAACTCTTATCTAAGAATAATTATCTTCCTTCTATAACTCAAGAAATAGTTGAAGAACCAATTATGCACGCGAAAAGGATTCGTCAAAGATAATTTCTTTACATTTACTACTGCATACCAAACATGTCCATTGGACAAGTTTATTATGTAGTATTGAAGACTAGCATACAATAAAATGGATAAGAATTTAACATCTTTATTAATCTGCTCAATATCGTTCAGTCTAACACATCTGACATATAGTAATTGAATCGAATTTCCATTTATACAACGCCCACAGAATGTCTCATAGTCACTGTTTTTCTATTGTTTGTGTGATTTAAGGGTACTAGATGCTAGTAAGATGTTTTATTATTTATAGTTATTAGATGTCTGGTGTGACACTATATTATTTGAACTAGACGGAAAGGGTCCTGCTTGAATTGGAGACTTGGGTTCTTGAGAGGATGACAATAGAGTTTGCCCCTCTTCTCTGCTGATAGAGTCGATTATCGAGTTGTAAAATTACTAAGATTTACTTGAATGTGTTGATTGGTGTGTAATTTGTATCAATAAAATGTAGGAATCGTTATTATAATATATGTAATATTTACTATTAATAATTACTTTACATGGTCAAGCTACCAACCAACAAAAGCATACTACAAATCACATAGCTATCAACCTTGATAGCAACTATTATCTCCAATTAATTGAGATTCGAAACACTCTCTGCTTCTCTAGAATGTCCAAATCCTAATGCCGCCACTTCTTGATCTTCAAATTCTAGTCTATAGTTTGAGGGATTTTGATTCTCTTCTTGAGATGGCTCCAACTTGATCATTTGAATGGCAGTAAATCCTGCACATTCATCATCCTTGATGTTGCGGCAAGTATTCATCAATTGCTGCTGCCATGACATTGAAGGCAAAAGAGTAGGGATATTAGAGAACAAGGGTAGTTCTGCAGCCATGCCATTTTGCGGGCTGTTGTACCCTAAGTTGATGGACTTGATTGGGGAACGACGATTTGTAATTTCCTCGCAAGTATGTCTTTTCGATCCAATCATCTGAAGTTTGTTCTCTTTTCCATATTCTGTTTCGTTCATTTCAATAAGATTGTTGGTCGGCTTATAGTCATATGGGGGTTGGACTGGTAAACACGGTCTTTGTATCGTGTATATGCCCGGTATGCTCAAGAGATAGCTGAATTTCCTCTGTATGCTTATTACTAGGTTAAGATCTTCAGCAACCTAAAAAACCCAACAAAGTATCAGAGATATTGGGCTTAGTCTCCCTATAGTTTGTATACTAGTAGAAGACTTGGGTTATGACTTGATGCTGGGTAAAAATCTATGCAAGATAATTGACATGGATAAAGTGAAGCGTTCTTTGCTACATGTACAGGGATATTGCACATGGCATTTTATCATTGAATAGGGGCCAAAAACTATAATGTTGACAGCTATAGCATTCTATCATTGGACAGGGCAAAAAATTGCGAGTTGAGCTGCATGTACAGGGGGTCTGTCACAGCAGAACCCCCACAGAACACTCACACATGGGAGCGGGGGTGGGTAATTTTTTTTTACTTTTTTATTGAGGTGAATCCCACATATGAGAGGTCTGTAGGGGAACCCCTACTTCTGTACAAGGGAAAAACCAAAAAATTGCAATGTTGGCAGCTAATGCAATGCTGCTAACACTGCATCCGAAACTTGTACAGGGCGAAAAGTAGCAAAATTGAAGAAAAGTACCTTGTCAAATGAGCCCAGCTGAATTATCCCTTCTCTGACAGACACAACTGCAATAGTCTGCCAAAGATGGAGACTTCATACTCAATTGAGTGATGTAACAGAACAAGAAAAGTACAGTTACACTGAAAATTTTCTAACCTGAATGCCTGAATTGAATTGAACCTCCCATGTTCTTGGTTGCTGCAAGTATGTACAGAAGGACTCTAAGAAAATGAGACCAGAAGATTTTGGGCTGCAAGAATATTCTTATAAGAGTTTTGATTTTGCTTACAGGATCAATTGATACATTATAAGAGGAAACGAAATTAGGATCATTTTCACTGAGGCTATCTCCAAACACCCATTTATGACTGTTATCTGCTGCAACTTTACCCACCAATCTGCAAAAAACACATAAAAATACCGACTTTATAAAAATTGTGGATACGCCGAACTTTGATGTAAAAATGAATCCGGTTTGCACTCGAACTATTGAAGATAGAATTTAAAGAAATTAACTTGTCAACTCTCTAATGGCTTAATTCCCTTTTACCAATTCACCTAAAGAAATGCAATAATCAAAAAAAAAAAAAAGCTTACCCTTCTCCATAATTGTAGACCTCATGTGCCATTTTGAAAAAGATATCAGCTCCAAACCTTCCCTTTCTGTATCCACTTCCAGCTCTTTCACATTCATGAAAATCACAAAATCCATCTTCCCAAACTAGAATCCTGAACCAAATTACCAACTAACATTTGGTAATACTTCTCAAAGCATATCAAAAATGGGAGATGAAACTCATGTTCGGTACGCAGTAGTCGATAGGATTAGATAATATGAGTAAAAAAATTATCTTATTTTTTCTTCACATTACTGCCCTGAACGTGTCAGAACTTCTCATATATAATATACGAAGTTCATTCATTACCAGTTCCTTTTGTTTCCTTTAGCACGATCAAGTGTACCTCCGGTATGATCCCACCTGCAACAGAGCAAAGCTAAATGTAACGTATTTTCACAGTAAGGTTACGACTTAGTAATTTGCTTATTTTCAACTTTATATGGGCAAAAAGAATTGTTCAGTTTTAAACTTGCTTATTCACTTATAAGTGACTTTTTAAGCTTGGTTAAACATGCAGTCAGTATGAATTAGTCTTGCTTACTTGGGTGGAGGATAATTTCTGGGCAGAATCCTCCAAAAGACTGCATATACCCATTTAGAAGAATTAGAAGAGGAATCTGAAAATGTACATAGGCTTCTGAGTGTTTGCGGCAAAAGACAGTTGAGCATTGGAAGTCCACTTTCCATTGTTTAGAGAGAGAACAAGTTGAGAGAGTATAAAAAAGCTACTTCTGTGGTGTCTATTCTATCGAAATTAATAGAAAAAGAGCAAGACAAAGATAAATACCATGGTAAAGCTCATGCCCGAGGATGGCCGATTTATTATTAGATTAGTAAGTTAGTCTCAAGTCTCGACTTTTAAATTTTAATTATAATAACAAAATTAATTTCTTATTCTCACTGAGCATTTGCTTAATTCCATTATTTTCAAAATATATTTTTCTTTTTTATTTTCAACTATAAATTCTTCAATAAAATAATATTTTATGTAAACTCAAAATTTTTTCTTATTTTTTAACCACACATTCTCCATTAAATCACTACTCCAGAATACATTTTTATCAAAAAAAAAAAAACTCAAGCANTTTTTTGTTGCTGATTTTGCCAAAAATAACAAAAAAGGGCCAAATGTCTGTCTGTAAGAATATGTCAAATATTTTCTGTATGTGTAACATCGCTCATCTTTAGAACTCACCTCCAAACTCATTTGAGTTTATCCACTTATACAGAATTGTTTCTTCTTCTGTAAAAATGACAGAATACTCACATGGGAGTGAGCCTCACGTGAGTAAACTATTATTATAAAAAATGGGGCCCACCCTCATGTGCGTATTCTGTCATTTTTATAGAATTATTTTTTCTGTAACTGCAACACGGCTCAACTCATTTTCATCAATACACACTCAATAAAATAATTTTGTCTATGAATACATAACTTTTTCCTAGTTTTCAATTATACGTTCTTTAAAAACATTACTTTTTTTTTTTTTACAAAATCTATTGTAAAAATTTACGTAAAACAGACCCTAAATGTTCACGTGGTAAATACTCATCCATTTTGTTAAACAGTTCTGAAAAAATTCACATCTAGTTTTCCATAATTTATTACAAATACCTCACTTCTCACAATTTTTTTGTGAAAGTACAATAGAAAAAAATTGATTTATGCTTTTTCACATGTTATAAAAACTCGGGTTAATTTTTTTAATTAAATATTCACAAAGACAAATTTTGCATAAATGATTTGATATTAACTTATACATTAAATGCCCTCATAAAAACAAACATTCGATTTCTATCAATAGTTGTGAGTGAAAGAGTCGAGTAATAAAATCAATTTGTACCTTGCGGGGAGCAATTAAGAGCAATGAAGACAAGTCCCAATCAATCTTTTCAAGCTCTTCAATTTTCCTTTTCATTCATAAAACAAGATTCTTAGTTTGAACGTTCTGTGGCTCCGAACATATGTTACATTGATTATTAAAAATGGGTAACTCGACCATTTAACTTTAGTCTAGTACTCGAGTTGATGTGTTGTATTCTTTTTATGTTCCTCTTTTCTTTTCTCACTTCATAAATCAATTTCTTGGATCCTGTTTGCTATCAAATATTTACATTCATATTTTCTGCCAAAATTCGTAACTAAACAAAGGAGAGTTTAACTATGAAAAAGTTTAGATTATAAAAAATTGATTTCCCCTTCCATACCAATGTTATAGAACTAGACCAAACTAACTGATTCGACCAAAAGATATATATCGGACCATAATTGATCCGGTTACATGACAAACTTATTTTTTACTATTTCTTTACAATTTCTATTTCCCACTAATTTGATTCTAGTTCGACCCATTGCTCTTTAATCTTTCCCTTAAAATATTCTTCCATATAGATTCACTGTGCATGACACAATGGAGACAATACACACTTCAGCTTTAGGCCAACAGCCACCGTGATGGACAAGTAATTCCGCCCTGGACGATAATCAACCAATCATGTTATAGTACCAGATAGGGCTTGTTGACATACAAAAAATGAAGCTCAATTAAATGGTCTAAGAATTGGAGCTCAGTTAGAGAGTTCATGGTATATACCAAAATGAGACCATTGTAGAATATAGCGGAGGCCCATGGACAAAGTACTATCATCGCCCAAGCCTCCAGGACTCCCAAGATCTGAGCGAATGAAACACCTTACTGTCGCCTAGAGCGATGATCTCATTCTCGCCCAAGCCTTTGAGTCACTCAAGATTTGAGCGAATACGGCGCCTTGTGATTACTTAAAACGACGGTTATTGAAGCGGTTATTGAGCAATCTTATCACACTCCACGATCCAAGAATCTCGGTTACAAGCGGTTAAATAAAAAGAGCAATAGCAACAGTTGTGAACGGCAGTTCCTGGACAAGTCAGTCAACACGAAGAATATAGAACGCCAAGCAGTTTCCAGGTAGTTCTATAGAGAAAACCGTCAAATGAATATAAAAATGAAAAGAAGATAGAGAAAAGAGGAGCCCGAATTAATCACTCTCAACAAAGAATATGTAATTTCGATTCATTTATTTTCTAAGTGCAAACTTTCAATTTACTTCGTGTTTTGCTTCTTCTCAATTGTAATCTTCATAAATAAAACTCTTTTTTGGGACTTTGTCTCAAAAGGTTTGTTCTTTACATAATCGTCTGAACCTATTTTTAATTGTCAGCAATAACCCGCGTGAAACAATTTGGCACGCCCAGTTGGACAATTGGTGTTAGGGGTGTCTAAAAGTCCCGAACCGAACCGGACCGAACCGAACCGAATCGAGCGGTTCTTCATAAATTAAATACCCGAACGGGTACCCAAATCGAGAACCGATGGGTTTGGGTCGGGTCTCGGGTCTAGACCAAGAACCGAAGAACCGAATAAGAACCGAAACTAAATAATTTTTTTATTTTTTACATTGAATAAATTAAATTATTTTATTTTTTTCTAAACAAATTAGCAAATTAATTAAATAAATCAGATTATTTTATAATTTTAATTTTAAAGCCCAAATCACTTTTAAAACCCATTAGCCAATTTTAATTTGAAGCAAATGAATATATTTTATGTAGTGTTGCTATAATATTAATATCTACTTTTTGGTATTTGTATGTATTGAATTAATTTTATTGGACGCCTAGTTATTTATATGTTTTTTATTTTGGCTACGTTAATTTGTAAAAGTTATGAATGAAATGTCATTAGTTGTATTTATGTAGTGTTGTTGTAAATATTAAAAAATTTAATTATGGTACGGAACCGAACCGACCCGAACCCAACGGAATCGAACCCGAACGGTTCCATAATTATATTTTGACCTGACGGGTCCATTTATTAAATACCCGAAAGTTTTGGGTCGGTTCGGGTCTCCTCAAAACCGAACCGAACCGACCCGCGGACAACCCGAATTGGTGTTTGAGGATACGGAAAGTAAAGCATTAGCAAGCCATGAGTAGTCCAATCTATGATCGAGCGATATGAGGAGCAACAAAGCTCTCTACGAACAGAGGGACAGAGTCAAAGCAGTCAAAGTCGCTACGAGCCAGTGACAAAGTTGAGTCCTCGAACTATGCGCGCGTTGCTTGGGGAACTCACACATGATGTCGTTGAACAGGTAAATCTACTAAATGTTCACAATATGGAAAGATTTAACCAAAATGAGAATGCATATTATGATAACATGGCCAAACAACTAAACACGTTAAACGAGATCATGAATAAGTTAGTGGGTCAAATATGTCAACCAGTTGTACTAATAGGGAATCACTTTCAAACCAGGACAATCGTGGGACATAATTCCCCTGGTTTGAACCCAAGTCAAAGAATAGAACCACCTTTCGGTCTGTCTACTTCAAACCAGGGGGTAGTGGAATGCCAAACTTGAATAGTGGTAATGGGATGTCAAACCTGGGGGGTAACCCAAATTTAAGAGACAATGTCCAAAGTAATAGATAGAACACCCCGCGTGTCAATGATGGCGGAAAGACTCAGGCTAACGATAATAATGACCCGAATAGTGGCGTTTTTGTCGCCAACCAAGGATCAAATGTTAGGCTTCAAGTAACTCAACCCGTAGGAGTTCCATATGATCCCAACGTTATGTTGAGGAATCAAATTATGGAAATAGTGCAGGATCAAATGGCTTTTGGGGTACATCCTGTTATTAGGCCGACTTATACAAAACCATATCCTGATTGGGTAGATCAGGCATATCCGTGGCCTAGAGGGTACAAAGTGCCAAAATTTTCATTGTTCACCGATCTAGGATAAGTGTCTACTCTGGAACATATATGGCGATTCACACTGCAAAGTGGTGAAGTAACTGACTATCACAAAATGAGATCGTTCCCTAGTTCTTTAACAGAAGTAGTTTTCTCCTGGTTCATTAATTTGCCTGCAAATTCAGTTCAAACATGGAAACAACTAGAACAATTGTTCCACGCTCAGTTTTATAAAACTGAATCTGAAGTCATATTGGCCGATTTGACGAATTTACGTCAAATGCCAAATGAATAGACAGAAGGTTTCCTTCAGAGGTTTAAAACAGCCAAGAGCAAATGTTTTGTACCTCTGCTCGAGAAAGAATTCATCAAAATCGCTCAAAATTATTTGAGTTTTGATTTGAAAAAGAAATTCCAAGACAGAAAATTTCCTGATCTTTTCCAACTTAGCGCGAATGTGATTAGGTATAAACGATTGATAAGAGAAGAAGAACAAATGAAAAACTCTAGTAGAGGAACTTATTATAGAGACCCAAATTTCGACGTTCATACTATTAATTATGAATATTACGATCAAAGTGAAATATGTTTTGCCGAATTAATTAAGGGAGATGCGTATGCTTGTCCTATAATGGCCAAACCCAGAGCGTCTGGTAAGAATGAGCCTATAAAAGATGAAAACAAAAAAGTTAGAACGTTTTCATTTGATGTGACCAAAGTTGATCTTATATTTGACAAACTGTATAAGGATAAACAGATAAAATTGAGCGATAAACATAAATTACCAGACCCTAAGCAAATTAAGGGTAAAAAATATTGCAAATGACATAATGCATGGTCACATATGAGTAATAATTGCTTGGTCTTTCGTCATGTGTTACAGGATGCTATCGAGTCCGAGCGAATCACGTTCGAGGATAAGAAGAAAATGGCAGTGGATGAAAAT